CCATTTTTGAATTACTAGAACCTTACTTTTCTACACCAAAAAAAGTATAAAATTTCTGAAAATGTCTTAAGTTTGACATTAAAAGATCTTCATAATCTTTACTATTTAGTACCAATAAATCCAATTTTTGACGCACTTTAATCTGGTATAAACACTTTGTGATATTATCTATCTTTTAGGTCGTATAGAAGGGGAGGTAAAGGTTACGTGTCACCGTGTACTTTCTTCTGAAATCAGAGAAATGATGACGTCAGTCGTAGAAAGAGAAAATGCTAGTGAAGTAAAATAGTTTCAAAAAGGATTGACCTACAATATAGATTTATAGATCGAATCTGAATTCAGGCAATGCTTCATCACTTTCTAATAGTACTTATTATATTAGTTCATTCATGTATATTATTATATTATCAATATGGTTTGTTCTTGAACGGTCAGATAGATCGACTTGATAAAGGTAAAGATTTTAGTAATAAGATTATAAAAATAAAATTTCGATTTAAATATGATTTTAAATACTATTGTTAGCTAAATAACTAATCATAATGAAGAAATACTGACTTGGTTGACGATTCGAATGCACAGCTGATAATTGAAAATTTATTGTGAAAACCTGGCAGGATAGGTTCGTTTTCAAAAATATTGATTAAAAATCTTAAAAAGACCAGGCCGAAAATGAATTGTAATATCTAGTTCGATGCGCTTTTATTTTCTCTTTCCGACGGTGAGAAATGCATTTCTTTCTCTCGTTTTTATTGAAAGTGATTCAAAACATATCCTTCCGCTTTTTTCGTTAAGATGATCATTAGTGTTATCATCACATAGATATTCGTTTAGCAGCTACTTCACAAAACATGAGAATTGGTGTTCGATCTTCTAATATTATATAATATGTATTCGTTTTACTGGTATTCCCCCTCATAAAAAGTCTTCCACCGTGTGATGTTATAACATCACAGTGGAACAGTCAGCTAAACGAATACCGAAACTTCAATATTCAGTCACATCAAGTTTAACTAAAATGTCTTTCATTTGTGAATTAAAACTATTTGCACTGTTATTTTCAACAATATAACTAGAACATAATTTTCATGAAAACAAGATAATAGAGTTTAATATTGTTTTATTTTCTTTTACAGCTACAATTCTTTAAAGTAAGTCAGCAAGTACTATTGAGTAAAAATTTTTAGCCCAAATACAACAAAAAATATAATTGGTTGTTATTTATCCAATGAAAATAAAGACGGATATCCTACACAGGATAAAGTGCTACACATAATCATGGAAAATGCATTGATAACTTAAAATAAAACATTATTAAAGAAAAAAACAAGACAATGCATTTTCTTTTTTAGTCTTTCATAAACGTCTTCAACATATAGAGACAGTATATTTAGTTTAAATGTTTCTCTTTTAATTCAATAAAAATACTCAATGCAATCATTTTGAAATAATAGCATACGATTATAAATCAAATATTGTTCTATTTTTTTATTCATAGATAAAAGAAAAACGAGCAACGTTTTTGCGCTGCCTTGTCTGCCGCTATTTCGGCGTATATGTGGGATGATGAAAAATAATTGATAAAAACAAACCTAAATATTTCATTAAAATCTCATATCTTTTCCCTTTACCCAACGTCCTCGACATATTATTATTTCGTTTTTCTTTTTTTGTCTCTTGTTTAATCCCTTATTATTTTCTTTCTCCAAACATTTATTAATTATTGTTTGTAAATGGCCAACGAACAAGATAAATTAAATATTGATGGAATTATTCAACGATTACTTGAATGTAAAAACAATAGATTGATTAAATTTCTTAAAATAATAAATTATTTTTTTGTTTTAGTTCGCGGTGCCAAACCTAATAAAAGTGTTCATTTAAGCGAAAATGAAGTACGTGGATTATGTTTAAAATCACGAGAAATTTTTCTTAGTCAACCTATTTTGCTTGAACTCGAAGCACCATTAAAAATTTGTGGTAAGTTTTGAAAAGAAAAAAAGAAAAAATTTTTTTTTTACCTAAATGAATTTCTATTTAGGCGATATTCATGGTAGGAAAAATTAATTTTTAATTGAAAATATAAAACAATTAAACTTTAGGTCAATATTATGATTTACTTCGTTTATTTGAATATGGAGGTTTTCCACCTGAATCAAATTATTTATTTCTTGGTGATTATGTTGATCGTGGTAAACAATCACTTGAAACTATATGTCTATTATTAGCTTATAAAGTAATTCTTTTTTGTTTTTAAATATTCTCAAGAGATAAATGAAATTATTGTCTATTTTTATCTAGATAAAATATCCAGAAAATTTTTTTCTTCTTCGAGGAAATCATGAGTGTGCATCAATTAATCGTATATATGGTTTTTATGATGAATGTAAACGACGTTATAATATTAAATTATGGAAAACATTTACAGATTGTTTTAATTGTCTTCCTGTTGCTGCTATAATTGATGAAAAAATTTTTTGTTGTCATGGAGGTTTAAGTCCAGATTTACAATCTATGGAACAAATACGACGAATAATGAGACCAACTGATGTACCTGATCAAGGTTTATTATGTGATTTATTATGGTCGGATCCTGATAAAGAAGTTAATGGTTGGGGTGAAAATGATCGTGGTGTATCATTTACATTTGGAGGTGAAATTGTTTCGAAATTTTTACATAAACATGATCTAGATCTTATTTGTCGTGCTCATCAAGTTTGTTTGTTTTTTTTTTGGTATATGAAAACAAACAATTGTCTTTTTAGGTTGTTGAAGATGGTTATGAATTTTTTGCCAAACGTCAATTGGTTACTTTATTTTCAGCGCCTAATTATTGCGGAGAATTCGATAATGCTGGTGCAATGATGTCTGTTGATGAAACATTAATGTGCAGTTTTCAGGTACAGAAAAAAACAATAGATTTTTATTTAAAAAGATATTAGTGCAATTCGTAATGGAATTGATATGTGAAAGACAATATAGATATTTATAGAACGTTTGTTTTCTTCGATCTATTTTGGGATACATGTTTGTCGAGGTTCTCAAATCGAGGTAGATGGCCGCTTGTCGGAATCTTGAAAAAGTTTCGTTTTTTTCTTCAGTGTTAGTGTCAATTGATGACACTATATCGTTGTTAAGGTTTAAGCAAGTTATCCTTTGTCTGTCTCTTTCATGTAGTCTATGGTCATCATTCCTTCTATACAGATTTTCGTTAGTGTCAGTGTTATTATTGTTGCCTCTGCTTCTGTACTAGGTGACCTTGTTCTAGTTATCATCACTGCCATCGTGTTATATATATTCTCAATTGACAAGCTGATGAATTTATATACCGATCTTATGTCTCTATAGTACAAATAGTCAAGTTACCGATAGGAAGTTTATTTTACATGAGTTCTCTAGGCTTATACAGACTAGAGATTTTAATACTTACCTTTTGGCTTACGTATAATGTGTAAGCAAAACAAGTTGATAATTAATTGAGATCCTCACATTCACTGTTCTATTGACGTTCAACCCTCATCCCAATCTTGATGACCTCTGTATACTTTTGACTTGATCCTTCAGATATGCGATAAGAAGTAGTTTATATACTATACCGAGACATTATTGATATACGGTCTATGATGTTTAGAGACGTGCATAATAACCATTTTTTTTAGGAGCGATCAAAGTTCTTTAAATTATCTAGCAATAAATTAGATTGAACACTACAGATTTATTTTTGAATGGTGAATTTTATTCACTATATCAACTGGAGGTTCGATTAACATCTTATCAGGCCTTTACAAAGATGTACAAAAGTCAGACTCAAGGCTGACTCGGATGCAAGTGTCTGATGACGTTTCCATGGTTACGTCTATGGAGAGCAATATTTTATACAGGTTTTCTGTTTCGGAGCGACAATTTGAAAGTTCAATAGGGCGAGCATCTAATCTTTGAAGCACAGAAACATAGTATGGTGGCACAATAACCACAAACTTCGGGAGAACCAATTTGATCTTCAAGTGAGTGTTAGATCAAACACTGATGAAAGAGGATCCAAATTTTTACTTCAAATACTTCAACACTCATTTTATGTCGTCTTTCACAAAATATTGATTCATACTATGAATAAACATAAATGAAATCGAATATATATATATATATATTTTTTTTTTGTTTTCTAAATAGATTTTAAAACCATCGGAAAAGAAAGCAAAAACGCCTTCGTTAAACAATAATCGTCCAGTGACACCACCACGAGGTGGTGGTAATCCTGGTATGAAAGATGCCTTATTAAAAGATGGCAAAAAACCGATGTAAACCTATATATCAATTGCATTCAATCTTCCACTGGATCAAGACACATCACTACTAATAATTTTCTTCTTAGCATGCGTTTTTTTTCCCTGCCGGTTGGAAAATCCCATTCGACTACCAACAAAATATAGACATCATTGATCTTTTGTATATAATCACAATTGTCTCTGAAACTGCTTTTCTCGTGCTTGTTCTCTCTCTTTATATATATATATACATATTCGTATACCTTCTATTACTATCATTCATACCTATCTATTCTAACTTTTCTTTTTCTTTGTCGTCTTTGTCAGTTGTTTGTTTGGTTTTCTTTTTTTTTTGTTTTTTGCATCATCAACTAGAGAAAGCTCTCTGTTTGCAAGCGTTCGACAAGTAATCGGTCGTCTTCACTTCTCTTTTGGTCCACATATATATACATATAATTATATATCTTTGATCACGTCAGCCCATGGCTAGACAATAGTAGCAACAACAGATGAGTGTGTATGTGTCAATTGAATATTTTTTGTTCTCTCATTTTTTTTTGTCTTTTACATTAGAACAACTTATGGTCAGCCATTCTTTCTCCTGTTTTTTTTTGTGTGTGTGACTTCTATTTGAGAAGAATAAAAACAAAAATTAGAAAAAAAATAAGAAGGGATTTAAGCCGTATATATTTCTCCTTTTTCTTTCATAAAAAAAGTTTTATGGTAACAGTAAAATTAAGATTTTTTTAATCGATCTTTTGGATCATAACGACTTAATAATGATGAACGATGACGGTCATATATTTCATAAAATCGTGGTTGAAGTTGATCAGATCGTGATGGAAGATTGTATTTTTGGTCAACACGTTCACGAGGTTCAACATTATAACACATTTGTTCACGTTTATTAAAATAAAGTGCATCATCATGTTCATAATGTGGAATATTTTCTTGATGAGCATTCTAAGAAATAAAATAAACATTTTTTTTTGAAGAGAAAGAGTATTTTTGATATACATTAATGATTAATTCACGATTGGCTATATCACGACGCCATGGTTCAATATATCGAAGTGGAATGAGTGGATGAGGTGCTGAATAGTGAGTAATTCTTGTCACGAAAAAGAAGAAGGACTAATATATATGTAAAATAAATGAATTTAAATATTTACCGAATAGAAGATGAACTATCGTCATGTTTTGCCATTTGTATTTACGGTTTGTTCTAGGTGAAAAAAAAAGAATTTTTCAAGAAAAATGAAAGAGAAGAGAACATGTTTTCTTTTTAAAATTAAGCAACCTTAGTAACATAAACAGTTACCGACACTTTTCAATAATAGAAATCTAACAACATGCAGATGTCGTTGAAATCTTGAATTAATGTAGTGTAAAAATAATTTATTATAAATGAAAAATAGACTTGACATTTGTCCGATTCAGTTAATTAAATCATTTATGTAACTTGTCCAAGAAAGTGTAGAAATGAGTACATTATTAAAAATATGGATTGAAGAAATATCATGTTTATCTGTTAATTGGATTAATTTGTTAGATATCTAAAGAAACATCGCAAACATCATTAAATGGTATTAGTACCGAATGCTGTTCATTCCAGATTATTATTTTCCTTACAATAGATTTTCAATGGTCGATCATGAGTTTCTTCGGGGTCTCATTAACCTCATTTCTATGCAAATACAATTTTAATGATGTAAAATAGCCTCATTACTATTGTTATATATTAATGACTTCAATCAACAGTCTTTCATAATATTTTTGCCATTTCAAAAAAAAAAACAATTTTTACTTCATTGGTAATAGTTTCTAAAAATACTCATTATCAAGCATGAAATATCATTAAATAGCTATGCCAATCGACCTTTAAATTTCCAATTAATTTCTATTTTCTTTCATAATGATAACGATTTTCGATATGTTTGTAAACTAAGTAATTACATATAAATAGTTAACATATGATTCTGTTCAAGATTTTACAATAAAACAAAACTAATTAACATGAGCAAATTAGAGATATAAAAGGTTTATATTGAACAACTTAAAATGGTTTGAAAAGTCTTTGAAGTTGTATAAGCTTTCGAGATCAAAGAATTACGACAGATATTTTTATCATTTTGTCTGTCATAATTTGCTTTATAATAGGTCAAAATTCTTCAAGCAAATCATTAGATTTGACTGTAAATAAAGATCGAATGATTGGAATAAAAGATAGCGACATTAAATAGATCATGAAAAGCATTACAATAATAAAGAATCAAAGATTATTATTTATCGTCTTTCTTAAAGTCACTTATTGAATGAAATTGTATTGTCAAATGTCATTTTAGTTATCATTTGTTATTATGAAGTCTACTGATTTTTCGATATAAGACTTGTCATATCCAATTAGTTCAACATATTTGCTTTGATAGTTTCCAACAATTCAGATTCAACCGGAATCTGTAAGAATCGGTATTGGAATATTAACGAGAGACACTGAAAGAAGATGACAATATCTTGTGTACGTCTTATCGCTTGATAGAAAACCATTTAAGTCTAGTTATGGAAATACAGGAGGCATTAAAGATATACAAATCTGAATATACTTGGCCTCTATATCTAAACATTGATCTAGTGAAATTCATGGAAAACATTCTATGAAAAGCGAGATACTGAATGGATAGAACGCGATGAGTTCTATTTGCAGTCTCCTTGGTTCTTTATTTAGAGTCGGCCTAAGAGGAACTATGATGGATTTGTCTTTAGAGGATGATAGACTAATTTACCAAAAATGACTTAGCGAACTGAATAGAGCTTATCAATATCTATTAGAAGAACAATTTACAGTGAATTCATACGCGAAATATTCGAGTTAAGACTGATGAAATACTATGAAAACAAAAATTTCTATTTACACTATTTCAAGAATAGATCTAATCGTAAATATCACTTTAGAAGAGAAAAATCTATATTTGTTTTATTTAGATTTCTTTTCATAGCAGATTCAACAGTAAGTATTCATTTAACAAACAAAAGATATTTATGACTTCTCAGAATAAATTATATTCTTTTTGTTCTAATGGGGTGATGACAGGAAAGAGATGAATAGAAAATCTATTTTCTTCGAACTGAAGAGAGTCTCACATAAAGACAATGATAAATGATGTCACACGATAGTCTACAATGGTCTCATATGTATAGTTGTGTGTCATCTACGACATCACCAGACACAAATTGCAATTATTGAGTCAAGAAAAATGATGAAATACGACTGGTGTATATTTGTATTCTCCAATGTCGTATTCGACAGTCTTAATCTTCTTCCTGTAGAGTAATCAAATATGAATGTGGCCAACGAGTGAAAGAACAAGAGAATAAATTAAATAAGGAAAATGAGAGAGGGGAAGAGAAAAATAGAAACAAGATCTAATGGATTTCTAGAAAAGTTGTCATTGAAAAAAACAAATATTTAAAATCTTTCTCTAAGCATGATCAAAAAGTAGCATTTTTTTCCTATCAGTTTTATTCTATATATGTCTCATCAAAAGTATGTTCCTTTTACTTAAACTTTTCATTGTAAGTGCAACTAGCACTTATGTCGCTCTGGCGACACAATGAGATCAAACGAATTATGAACTGTTGATGTGTTAACTTACACTCTCAAATACATGAAGAATAGATGTTTTTTGGTATTTTATGTGCAATATAATATATATACAGCTCCTAAATGAAACATAATGAAGAGCTGAAGTCTTGGTTACAGATAGGTAGTTGTTTTAATACATTTTCAACTCTCTAGGTAGTTTCTATCTTTCACGAGATTCTTAACAAAATGTGAACTTTAGTTTAGAGTCATGCTTTTGTGACAGAATTGTTCTGTAGCAATATCATTTCTATAGAATAGAGACTGATATGATTTTGAAGAATATAAAGTTACACAGAAAATAACCTGAGTCAATGGATAGAATGAGTCGAAGAGTCTCAATGGATCAAAATGTAATCAATACCTCGTGATTCATGTATAATAATATAATTGAATTCGTGCGGAAATTAATAAAAAAAAATGTCTCTTTATATGAAATGAATAAATCAGCACATAATCCTCTACTCACTGACACATATAACTTCTCTGACAATCAATCACAGTAAACTTTTTGATCTTAAGTCTAAATGGAGCAGTAGACTACGCAAATACATTCCTAAAAGTGTTTCTATTGTTGTCTTCGAAACGTTTCAATTCTAGTTTTTGCAGTCGTCTGATAAAATCATCATACGAATCTCTACGAAATTCAAAAAAACATCTTTAATGTCTTTAGAAAAAAAACGATGAATAATATTTGAAATGGAAGCATTTCTCTTCCTGAGTAGCATTATGTACTCTAGACACGCGAAATCTTTATTGAAGTAGACACCTCAAAAATTAGTGTAAAAGATGATAGTGGAATACATCATCAAATAGGAATCGATCAGTAGAAAAAAATTCTTCGTCGGAGATACGAAGTACTCTTTCAATTTGTTGAAACCTGAACAACGTTTATTATAGAAAGTCTATTTGTATGTCCCTTCGTTTCGTAGTAAAATGCTATACTAAGAAATAGATGTTACAATGTGAAAAAAAATGAAATACCATAACGCTTGATCATGCCAATATGTCGACAGTCTATAAATAGGTCATATACAAAGAATGCCATTAAAGTAAATGCGTACAACTTGTCCGTGTGTGTTTCTCTTAGACTCAATACTTATCCAATATAATATGTGTTATATATTTAGTACAGTTTACATTGATTCCATTATATATAAATCTATATACTCTATCATGTTCATATAGTAACATGCAGATATTCTAAAATTTGAAATATTATTCAGATTACTCTCAAAAAACGTATCCAAGTGTATGATCAGAAAGAGTAGCTTTGCTAGTAATGAAATAAATTGCATGAGAAAATATCATTATATCTAAAATCATTTGATATTAGCAAACAAAACTTGATGAGAATGATCGATAATATTTTATACTTAAGAGAAAATGCTCAAGAAATTAAATACAGACGTTTTTAGTCAATGGATCTAGTGAGCAAGAATAATAAAATCGAGACATTATGTATGATTGAGGCTAATCTATTTCCCAACTGTATCGATAAGATTTTCTTCAATCTCAAATATTAATACTAAACAGCTAGTATGATTTTATACATATATTACTTTGATTAATACTAGAATGAATATAGCAATCTAAAGACGTTACTTTGATCTGCACACAAGTCAATCCATATAGATAAATTAACATAATGAAAATAGAATCTTGTATTGTTGGAATTTCTATCGAGTTATGATCATTAAGAGTACCCACCTTTTTCCGAAGAATGATTCATTGGAAAAATTTGAAATCTTCAGGACGGGTAGTTTTTAACGAGTAGAACAAAAGTTGTTATTCAGGATGCTGTCTTCTATGAAATACTCGGATCACAATGACCCCAATTTTCACTCCGTTCCTCAGAACTGCTATGTTCGATCGAGCTGAAACTTTTTTTTGTAAGCACTAGACACTGTTTGGGATAGGTATCTTTTCATTTTTTGTCTTTCGAATATAAAAGCCAAAATATCGAAAGTACCCTTAAAAAACCGCACATTTTTTTTGAATAGAACTATTAAAAATCAATAGAACAATATATTTTTTTTATTTCAAAAAATAGCCATTCTAGACAGTGTATAGTAAATGTGAAAAAAAGTTTCAGCTCGATCGAACGTACTAGGTCGGAGCAAGGTGATTGTTTTTGGACTTTTATCAAGAAAAAATTGGTTTGAGAAAAAACGCAAAACAATGTTTAGCTTTCGCTAATTTGATTTCTTCTCGAATATTTTAATATTGAAAGACAATTTTTGAATATGCAGTAGATAGATACTACTTCAGACTATAGAATGGTCACAACAAAAAAACAAAAATTTCGGGTTATGAATGGGCTGATGGTATTCTTAAGAGCGTAGATAAACCGGGTATGATCGTTCCAATCGTGCATTTGGTATACCAGATGAAATATCAATTAGACATAGACATTTACATCTTACTAGTTTCTGTGTTGACTGACACTAATATAAGATCATATGATAGACAAATGCGATGTTTCTTTATGAAATAAATAACTTTACCAGTTGATATTTCACGAAAAATAAATCAATGAGAGATTCTTTTTATTGATATCATTTCAT